CTCTATGCCAGCAATATTGGGAGTTAATTTCTTGGCCATGAAAAGTGAGACATCGTGCTTACGAGAAAGAGAGCGCGCTGTGATCATTTTTACACAGCGGCTGGAGAAGGGATAATCAAGTGACAACTAATAGCACTGGTGTAAGATCTAGATGAAGGGTTTGAGCAGTAGAGCTTGGTCTACGTCCCATGGTAGTTGTAACATGTTGAGTCAGGTACATTGCCAGGACAGATTGAGGAAAACGAAGTTAAAAAATTCAACAGATCATCCACAGTGAAGGTGTACCTACTGGCTGCTGGGAGCGTTGAAGTCACCCATAAGCGGTGAGTTTCTTTCACCTTTGTAATTGTTGATAGCTCCAGACAACCCGGTACCAGATTCCGATGGATTCTTGTATATAATACTGGCTATAAGCGAAATAAAACCATTAAGTACCCAGCAACAAATGAGCTCCCAAACATTGTCGCTGTCAACCGAAGCTCTAACAACGTGAACTAGAGAATCTACGTTTCAATAAATACTTCGCCTACTGCCCCTCTAGAGCGATCAGCGCGAGGACAACCTTAGCCCTAATAGAGGTCTCAGAGTTCAAAATATCCAAGATCATCCACGTCTCAGTAACGCTATCACATCCGAGCAGAGTGTTGTTGCAAAAATGAATACCATCTAGATTATTTCCCAAACTACGCACACGCTCAATATAGAAAATAATCCCACGTCTAATACTAATGCTAGCGGATGACAAATCTTCACATTTACCGGACACTTTATAGCAATCTTAACCATTGGAATATCTACAGTACAGAGATTTGGCTCAGTATTGGCTTGACTAGCTCGCATTTCATAATCCACATTTGCTATTTTTACCGATGTCTCCGAGTAGAGTTCGTTGACAATATAAAAGGATCCCTTTTTAGCCGAAAGGTTCGTCTGAGAATGCGGCAAATTTCGCCCTCAATTTTACAGATGAATTTAGGGGATGTGGTTTGGATGGCTCATTATGATTTCTACCTAGGAAAAGAGATAAAATAATACATATCTCCTGCTCGCCATTGTGGTAATAATAGAAATCGTACACAACTTGAAAGTCTGCTCATCTAGAAACCTTTCAAATAGGTATTCCTTATTGGGCTCAGGCTCATTCATAACAATTAGACACCGGTCAGGGTGATGTCTGTTTCCATCAAATGGTACGGCATTGGAGGGTGCGTGCTTCCACTGACCAATTTTCAAGCTGGTTAAACCGCTCAAGAAAACGCTTCAGCTTAGAATTTGTCCACTTTGGTGTAGACATGAAATTTACTTTCTCCGCTGTCCGTGAGGCTTCATCGTGTAGGACATTTGTATTGATGGTAGACGTTTGGTGAGAGGATACATGCAATACGGAAGCATAGGGCTTCATTCGATGGATGTTGCACTGTGCACCAGAAATAATCGCTTAATGCGACGGAACAGTGGAAAGTCGGATATCGGCAATCCGCATTTCCCACCGTATAGATTTTTCTTTTTGTCGGTCGGCTCCTTTCAACAATCATTGGAGCTATTGCCATTGAACCGGAAATGAGGGAATTTCACCGTCTCAAGGTATCATGGTGGGATGAAGAGACAGGACAATGATGCTCGTCAATTTGGGGAATCTCAGATGTAGCTTACAAAGAACGCGGGGGGAAACGACCATAGATGGCTAGACAGGAGTTTGTAGTTTCCTGCAGTTCAGCACGAGTCACAAGCCACGATAATGAAAGGGGAGTTACATAGCTGAATGTGATGGTGAAGATCAGCGCTGATGTCTCAGCAGGTTACTTGCAGCCATTTTTAGAGGGTTGCCTGTACCGGGAGCCCAGAGAGCGATTCGAGAAAACGGATCGAGTTGCAGGGAAACTTTTATTGGTACAGTAAAAGATTCCCTGTTATCTAGCTATAAAAGAACGACACCGTGGACGCTCTAGCTAGGGGAACGGATCAAGTACAGCACACAGGGCAGTTGCGCGTTGCAACCGAAACGAGCGCCAAGCAAAAATGGGGATGAGCAAGTCAAGCATTCGAACTCAGCAAGCAGTTCAACAAACCACACCGGTTGCTTAGGTGTACAATTATAGAATTTTGTTAGAATTTTACACAGGCAACGGGGATCTCCAGACTGCTACATAGCCCTCTCCCAGAAGGGACTGTGTAAGCAGTCCTTCGATCTACGTGAGGACTGTCCGTCGCGGGCCAGCCTTCTGCGAGACCAGGTTGTGAAACCTGATGCAGCTGCTGGGGGAGAACCATGCAATCGGACCCTAGCGGGCTCCCACCCGTGTCCTCCCTACGGTGTCGAAACGGTAAAAAAACTGTTTGTGGGGGACAGTTAGTAAAGTTCACGTAAGCGGTTGAACAGGAAGTTCGTTCCACTTGCAGTTGACGTGCGGGAATCCAGCGGAAAGTGAAACCGAGGTGCAACCAACCGACGGTGTATATGGAAAGCAAAATGAAAAAGCAGCATAAATGCATAGCCATACACAAAAGAGTGTAAAGCGAAAAACGTGCAAAGCTGTTTTTGGGTTTTCAAAAGGTTTTGCTCTTTTTTGGTAGTTTCAAAACGTTTTGATCTTTTTTTGTGGATTTTCAAAAACGTTTGGTAAGAGCAGAAAATTTTAAAGGCACGTTCTACGTAAAATAGTAAGTGCTAACAAAGTCTGAAAAACGAACTGGAGGCTTGAGCTTCCTACCGCGTCGATCGATAGTAGGGCGAGTAGGAGTGCTGTCGGTTGCGGTTGTAGGTTCTGCTGGAGCGGGCTGACTCGTCTGAGGTTGCGGTGCGAGCTGTGATGGCGCAGGCTGTGAAGGTGCTTGCTGCACCGAAGAGTCAGACTTGTCGAGGAATGCTGGCTTGAGTCGATCAATGGTGATCGTCTCAGTGGTGTTGCGTCGTAGCTTGCCTTTGTCGGGATCAGCTTGTTGGGCAGCAGCCATAGCGGCTAGATCAATGTTGGTGCCAGGCGATAAGCTGATCTGTTGAATGCGTGAAAGCGCATCCGCGACGGGATTGAGAGCACCTGAGACATGTCGTACGTCTGTCGTAAACTGAGAAACGTAGTCTAGGTGTCTAGTTTCCCGCGGCGAATACTTGTCCGTTGCGCCATTGATTGCGTAGATCAATGGCTTGTGGTCGGTGAAGACTGTAAAATTTCGACCTTCGAGATAATGACGGAAATGTCGGATACCTAGGTAGATAGCTAACAGTTCCCTACCGAAGGTGCTGTATCGCGATTCGGCAGGTTGTAAGCGCTTTGAGAAGAAACCTAGAGGTATCCATCGATGGTCGATGAGTTGCTGAAGAACTGCACCGACGGCAGTGTCGGATGCGTCAGTCGTCAGGGAGAGTGGTGCAGATGTGTCTGGATGGGCGAGAAGCGCTATGTTGGAGATAGCGTCTTTGAGCTTCTCGAAAGACAGTCTAGCGTCGTCTGCAAAGTGAAAAGACCGTTGTTTACCGCGGAGCAAGTCAGTCATTGGTTGGACAATGCTCGCGCAGTTAGGGATAAAGCGTCGATAATAGTTGACCAGGCCAAGGAATCGGCGTAACTGCTTGAAGGAACTGGGAGCAGGATAGTCCTTCAGTGCCTGGATTTTGTCTGGCAGAGCTTCAATACCAGAGGCAGATATGCGGTGGCCAAGAAAGTCGATGGAGCTTTG